GTCAAAGTGTCACTTTGGGGTAAAGTCTTGAGTGTTTTTAGTTGAGTGTTGGAGGAGAGATTCCTTGTTCAACAATTCACATTTGTAGATAAGTGTAAGGGATATCTTTGGCTACAAAACAGCAATCATCGTTTCCTAAATTAGGATTTGTGAAAACCTCTGACTTTTTAAGATTTTAGTAAGATTTCTTAGCTGGAACACTAATACAGTTAATATTTCTCAACTTTTTGTCTGGAAAGCAAAAAAAGAGAAAAAAAAAGAAACTATCCTAAGATTGACTTGTGTAATGTTAATCCCTTTATTGTAACACAATGGGGAAATTTGTTATCTGCATTTTGACCCATCCCCTTGGCGAGCAGTGGGCTGCTATTGCATAGCACCCGGGGATCATTCAGGGGTTAAGTGTTTTGCTCAGGAACCCAGAGTGGAGGTTGTGGGGATTGAACGGGGTACTTGCAACCTTCTCAGAGCACAAGTGCACTGCTCTAAGCACTAGGCCAACACTCCCCACTTTAAGACTAATCTAAGAATTTTCTGAAAATGATACTCTGTGCTTAGACCTATCAATTTACTAATCTAGATCTTTATTTCAATATCAGTATGTGCTATTTTAATCATGTAAATAGGTTAAGATTGTGGCTATTTTATTTAAATATATTCCAAGAGCCATAACTTTACACTTTGCTTGCCAATGACCTTCTTTAGCCTGTGGGGTGGAGTTTACAGCAGTAATGTCCCACAGCTGAAAATATAATCTAAAATGCTGAAATTTGCACACAGAGAAGCGCAACTGAAGAATAGCAGACTATGTAAAATGATTCCCATGATTGTGTTGCCATGACATGATTTTGTAGTACTGTTTAGCCCTACTCAGAACTGTGATGCCACTTTAGAAATCAGCTAACATCATAACATAGAACATAGAAATAGTCTTTATAAGGCATTATTTACAAAAAAAAGTTACTTTTGCATTCTGACATAATATATATAATTGAGACCATACTAGGAGGTCTATAGCGATCCTGTTTCTACCTACAGAATAGCTCTTGATAATGTAACCCGATTATGTGACCTAGACATTCAGAAAGGGCCCTTGGAAACTACTGACTTCATCTCACTGTGAGTAAGGGTGTTTGTTTCTAGACTAGAGGGTAGAGAGACGAGAAGATGGGCATGTGTCAACTCAGCAACAAAAGAAGTCCATCACTGCACATCTCCATCCACCAGTGTGTCACAAAGACAAATCACTGTATCCTGTTCCAAACCTAGGTTCATATTACAAGTTTTACACTCCTTAATGAGGGTTTCGGCAAATGGTGAGAAAAGAAAATCAAACCTGGAAAGTCTGTTCAAAACTAACAAGCCTAACTTTCTTGGCAGAAATAAAAATAGTGGACAAAACCCCATTTTATTAAAAACTCCAGCATATGTCTGAATGATGTTGTATGATAGGTAACAATAACAGTATGTTTTGGAACTTTTAATGTGCATCATGTAGCATTTGGCTATTTAAAGTGTTGAGTGAGGGCTGAGGAGCAAGTCCAAAACAGTTTCCATCTATTAATGACTATACTTTTATGTAAATAAAGAAAAACCCCTTTCTATATTGTTGAGTGTATTATTGCTGGATCGCACAAAAGCACATGTACTTCCTACCGATGATGAGGAGCGCCCACCTGCCCCCACCCATCCTAACAACTTTCTACAGAAGCACAATAGAAAGGGTTCTGACCAGCTGTCTCACTATGTGGTGTGGAGGCTGCAGCGCCTCAGACTGGAAGAGAGTGAGAAGCGTGGTGAGGAGAGGATCATCAGGGTTCCTCTTCCCTCCATAAAAGACATTTCAACCCAACGCTGAGTGTCTTCAGTCCATAACATCATCAATGACCCCTCAAAACCCCACCACGGACTGTTCTCCCTGCTGCCCTCCAGGAAGAGACTTCCCAGCATTCGATGCAGGTCTAGCAGATTCTGAAACAGCTACTTCCCCACTGCCAACAGACAGCTGAACTGTTGAGAAAACTCTCAGTCATGTCACAGGCTCTGCATCACACTGACAACACCAAACCAAAACACTGCATATTTGCACCACATATATTTAATGCTCTGAACTTCCATTTCAGTGCGTTTGTTGCACCATGTTTTTTTCTCCCCCACTGTTTACATTTGATCAACGCAGCACTTTAAGAAATGGCAATATCACGAAAGCTGTACAATATGAAATTTAGTTTTGTATAGACTCTGTGTATACAAAATGAAAGTTGTCCAAGTCTAAGTCCATCATGAAATTCAAACATAAGTAAATTTATAACATTAAAAAGAACTGGGATCAATTTAAGATTATTGCCCATACTGAAAATGCATGTTTGAGTCATTTTGAGGCTGCTGGGTAGGCTTCTCCTAACTGATTTAGACTCTGTGTGCTCAGAGCGGGTGAAGGTGCTGATGGGATAGGGAAAAGGACAGAAAGAGACAGATCCAGAGAAAAATAACTAAAAGAGCGAGCCTCGGAGAGATAGCCTGACAAAGAAGTGGACTGTGTGTGTCATTTTCTCTGACAGTTATTTGCAGGAATTGTTCATAGATAGCAGATGTGTTGTGTGCTGATGGCCGGAGGTGTTTGGAGACAGGTCTTATGCACTGTGATTGAAACAGAAGATAGGTAGCGCCTCATTTTATACAGTACCACTGGCAGTGAAGCCATCTGCCACCTTGTTGACTTCTGATGCATCATCAGCTGTAATTGTCATCATTCTTATTCTGGTTTTCTGCCCTCTTGGTGGTAATTTAATTAAACATGTTGGCAGAAGTGTGGATAAATGTGTAGCAGGAAAAGCAAACAGAAGGAAAAGACACATTAATCCAATTAACTTAATACAAACTAACTTTTGTATTAAATTAGACTGACTGTTACATATCTTTAGTCTTTACCCATAAAAGAATCCAGCATCCTTTTAATTGCAGTTTTGCTTTGTATCATATTTTTATGTCTGTTCTACTTTACTGACCTATATATTCAATATGTGCAGTAGGATATATTTTAATTGAGTTTGTAATTAACACAGGATAAACACCAATATTTATAAAATTATTTACAGTGCAATGGAAATTTCAGATTCTGTTACTTAAGTAGCTTTAGAAAAAAATTGAGATTTTACAAAAACGAAAATTTCTTGCTGAAATTAGAACAAATTTAATGAAAAGGGCAAACTTAAACCTGATGGAACCGCACAACAGGAAACATAAAAGAAGTTCTCAAGAATAAGACTTGTGTAGTCTCTTGCTGCGTTTAAGTGTTACAAAAATTAAAATTGTATTAAATATATATCTCAATTTTTTTCATATTTCTATGTCTAGATGTGTCTGATGTGAACCACGTGGCACAACTAAGGAGGAGCTGCACAAAGTACAAGATCTGCAACATCTCTTGAAATCTTTCTAGTGCGAGCTCACCTGTCAGACTTGGGAAAATCTGCGTCCCGGGATTTTCCAGAAAGGACACAGAAAAGCAAAGTCACAGAGCTGTGTAAACATCACTGAGGAGGGGGGAGAAAGCAGAAAATAAAAAAAGGTAGGGTATACACTATATATGCATATTTGTACTTTAGCTGACAAGAAAGTTTTCTTAAACATGATTTGTTTACACCAATGTTATTCTATAATTGAGGGTGAATTTTAAATAAAAGACAAAGCACAAGCTTTTTGGTTGTTCTTGTAAAACTATGCAAAAGTCGTTTAAATAAACTCATATTTTTACTATCAATGTGTGCTGTAAGAAATTAAAATTAGTCACTAGGTATGGTTTTATATTTTTCCTGAAAACTGAGCATAGCGTTGTGATACTACAAACTTATTTTAAGGTTTTCATCAAACTTTTCCACAGTTTCAAGTTAATTTTTAATGTTCGGCATATGCCTTCTAAAAAAAACTCTTGCTAGAAATGCTATAAAGGCAGCATATGGTATGATCTTAAAATAAGGTCTTATCAGACTTATCTTTTACACATATTGCGCCTGATTTTTCTTCTTAAGCTCCTTGCCAGCTTTAGATACACTATTGTTTCTTTGTACCATAGTGAGGATTAAACACAGTCTTTCTGTGTGTGTGGGAGAGGGTGTGTGCTTATGTGTGTATCTTTGACAGTTCTGGCACAAAGTGTAGCATATATTATGCCATGGTTCCTGCTTTTATGGCACCTATTTCATTGGCAGAACTGTGATTAGTGCCAACAGTTTTTTCGACCTTCCCCTTGCTATTATATTCTTTGTGCACATATGCGAGTGCACTGTATTTGTGCCAGGCAGAGATAAAATAAAAGTAGTGATTGTTGTAATTATTCCTTCTTCAATTTCTTCCGCCTACTCTGCCGGTGGAGAATCTTGCTCTAAGAGGCATATAATACCGTGGAATGCAACCCTTTCCAATGTATTCACACTTATATGCATGACAGTCTATGGTGCTCATTAGTGATCCGTATGTTAAATGTTGGCATAAGGAAGAAAGTCAGGAGGAAGTAAGAAACAACTACAAAATCATTATACACTGTAAAAAAAAATCCGTTGTTTTTACGGTAAAAAACTGGCAGCTGTGGTTGCCAGAATAATCCCGTAGAAAATACAACAAAACTGTTAACATTACGGAACAACTTGTACATTTTACTGGGATTTAATGTACAATAAATTATGACAAAATGTACATTTTGCAGTTATTCAATGTACAATAAGCAGTTTTAGGACGTGAAATTTACAAGTTGTTTTGTAATGTTGTTTACATTTGTACTGTATTTTTAACGGGGTTATTCTGGCAACCACAGCTGCCAGTTTTTTTCCGTAAAAACAACATTTCTTTTTAAAGATGTTTACATTTGTACTGTATTTTTAACAAAATCATTCTGGAAAAACAACAGGATATATATATATATTACAGTCTTACTATCTACATTGCTTCAAATTACTTCTAAATGAAAAGTCAGGCTGTAACAAACCACTCGTCAGACAATATACAATTCACAATAATGCAAATTTATTGTTGAAAAAATAATGAGAAAGAGATCATTAGTGTGTGTGTGTGTGTGTGTGTGGTCGCACTTGTGTTTGTGAGAGAGAGGGATTGTGAGTGAATAAATGTGAACCTTGTTAATATAGAGCCACGAAAAAAGGTGATATAGGTGTTCATCGGCTCCATCACTTTGAAGGAACACCTAGGGGAATAGAGAAGAGAAACAAACAATAATCTCCACTAGTTTCATTAGCAAAGTCAGCAATAATCAAAGATAACAGTAGCACTAGCACACACACCTTTTTAAACAGCTCGCCATTCATGGAGAGCTTGAGAATCACGGTAAAGGCTTGATTAACATGCAACTGCATTGCTTCTAGAAGAACATCTAGAGAAACATATGGGTGTTCACTGTCGCGGTGACTTGAACAACTAATGGAATAGAGAAGAGAAAGAAATACATAATCTCCATTAGTTTCATTAGTAAAGTCAGTCAATAATCAAGGACAACATTAGCATTAGCACACGTACACTGAACACGTGGGAATTATGTTCAATGCATCCAGAAAGTATTCACACCCCTCTCAATGTTTCACAATTTGTTGCATTGCAGTCATCTCCTTCAGTCAAATAAGTTTATTTTTTTCTCCTTGATCTAGACTCAGTGATCCATGACAGCTAGGGTGTGAATACTTATGCCCATGTGGATATTTCAGTTTTTTTAACGATTTGCCAAAACTTCAACAATTCTGTATTTTGCTGTCATTATGGGGCACGGATCCTAGATCAGGGAGAAAAAATAAACTTATTTGACTGAAGGACATGACTGCAATGCAACAAATGCTGAAACATTGAGAGGGGTGTGAATACTCTCTGGATGCATTGAACATAATTCCCACGTGTTCATTCATAGTTTTGATGCCTTCAACGAGAATCTACAATGGAAATAGACATGGTAATAAAGGAAACATTGATTGAGAAGGTGTGTCCAAACTTTTGGCCTGTACTGTACCTTTTCAAACAGCTCGCCATTCATGGTTGAAAAGGTCATGAACCAAGTTACAGAAGCTTAGATTAACATGCAACTGCATTGCTTCTAGAAGAACATCTAGAGAAACATATGGGTGTTCACTGTTGCAGTCACTTGAAGGAACAACTAATGGAATAGAGAAGAGAAAGAAATACATAATCTCCATTAGTTTCATTAGTAAAGTCAGTCAATAATCAAGGACAGCAGTAGCATTAGCACTAGCACACATACCTTTTTAAATAGCTTGCCATTCATGGTCTGAGAAGTCCTGAATCAAAGTAAGGACTCTTGGATTCACATGGAGCCATTTTGTTTTTGTTTGTTCCACTTTCGTCCCCTTCTCCGGATTAATAGAGAAGAAACATCTAGGTTAACAGAAGAGAGAAGAAACACATATACCACTATAAATGATACAACCATCTCAACCAGTCAAATCAGTACAAAGGAAAAGACAAAAAAGGTGAGAATATGGGTTACAGTTTTCCATTAATTAAAGTTTAACTGGTAGGCGGGGAGCTAAGGGGCCAACCGTGTACCCCCCACATAATGCAACTTTAAAAATATATATATATTATTAAAGGTCTCATCATGCTTAACATGAATCAGAATGTTTACATTGAAAATTTTGCACTACATGTTTCAGGTAGTCAGTGTATTTCCAAACATTGCAAATTGCATTGCATCTTCCCCTAGTTCATGGAGAGTCATGTTCCTGTAATACGTTTCCATTGCATTTTCAATGTACGGAAATACATTGACTACCTGAAACATGTAGTGCAACCCAAAATGTTCAGTGTTAACATTCTGATTCATGCTCAGCATGGTCAGACTTTGGTCACCAATTTAGGTAACATTTTAACATGTCAGTAACCCCAGGCTCACACCGACTCCGGTCTTACCGTTGCGGTGCGGTGGGTGCGGCGCCGCAGTGATTCCAAGTCATTAAAAAGACGTAAACCTCTCTCACCGGCTGCTGAGCTGTCCGGCTGCGGTTACCGAGACACTCCGGCGCTGCAGAAAATTCCGCAAGAAAGCTATCCTTGCGGCGTGCCGGAGCCCTCCGCAACAAGCTCTCGCAAAAATCCTTTATTTGGGCCGTGTTATCGCGTGAAGTTACGTGAACTCAAGTGAACTTCTGTTAAATCTCCGGACCTGTTGCCGGAGCCGCAGAGCCGCACCGCAGTCAAAAGGGCGGTGTGAGAGGGGGTGTGCGGGAGTTGCGGTCTCCGTCGGCTCGGTAACTGCACCGGAGCCAGTGTGAGCAAGGGGTGACTCGTAGCTCAAGTGTAAAAACAGGTGTGTGTACTATATGTATGCAAATGAAAAAAAAAACATCTGAAAAAAACTGAAACAATTAAGAGATAGAGGTCAGTGTGTGAATGAGAGAGCATGTGTTCAGTCTTTGGAAGGCAGGTGTGTGTGTGTGTGTGTGAGAGTGTTCATGTGAATGTGTGAGTGAGTGTGTGAGAGAATGAGTGGGGGTATTTGAAATTAACAGCTGAGACAAAAACAATTACAGATGATGCATGAACATAATTTAAATTAGAAATGAAGAAATTTGGGATATATTTGTGAGTGAGGGTAACTTACCACATACAACAATGGTGGGAGTCAAGGGCACTCTGTTCATGTCCACTTCTCTAGCCAGGCAAGTGTCCTCCACATAATGGAACATCACAACCCTACAATGCAACACAGAACCTTTTAACGTGTGCAATGTTCTCCCGCAAAAATGACAATGAATCATGTCGTGGGGAGCTTGAAACAGGCTAAATAGCTATTAGCTGCTAGCAGCCAGTAGCAACGTGAAGTTCGCCTATCAGCCAGTGAAATCAATAAAAACGCGCCGTTTTGTTTCACAAAATTGTCTTTTGATTTAACCTGATGCTAGAACCAGAGACATTACTTACTGAATCATGGCGTGGGGAGCTTGAAACAGGCAAAATAGCTATTAGCTGCTAGCAGCCAGTAGCAATGTGAAGTTCGCCTATCAGCCATTGAAATCTATAAAAACGCGCTGTTTTGTTTCACAAAATTGTCTTTTGACTTAACCTGATGCTAGAACCAGAGACATTACTTACTCAAACTTGGTGTCTGTTAAGTGCCACTGCCACAGAGCCGAACACGCACGTGTTACCAACCTAGCTAGTAGCCACTGCGTGGGACGCTGACGCTGATGCGCAAATACAGCCTGTGAATGGGCGGAGCTAACATTGAACCAAAATAATTTGATATTCTCCTGCAAAGAACAAAGTATTTGTAAAATAAACTAACCTACATAGCAGGAATAAACAGAAAATAGAATTGTTTACTTACCAATGATTGGTTCCATGAAAAATTCCAATATATGTAGAGCAGCGAATCAATTCAATAAGTCCTCTTCCAGATGGCCATGGTTTGATTCAGCTGTGTTTTCCATTCAAATATCATGGATAGGCATCCCGTGTTAACTAGACCTACATAAAGCTTCCCTTTCCTAATTTATTCAAAAAAAAAAAGTATTGTCTTTTCAACACATTAACAGTTTTATTTGGTTTAGAGTTTTACGAAATGGTAAACAAAATTAGGTTAGGGATCAGTCGAAGCGCAGCCCAAAGACCCCTTATGATGAGTACCATTAATGGACTCAGTGCTCTCTGACTGTGGGATTCCAGAGGTAGCTGATTGGTAACGGCAGTCCAAGCGACAAGCGGCTCGGGCGGTTGCCGAGGCAACAACTCGTTTTATGAAATGTGCCAAAGGGCCTAGGCCACTGACTTTTATTTAACAGGGCAATGATGTAATTTTAACTGTATGACTTTTTTTTTGACATTACAGTTAATTTGTGTTTAAATTACATTAATTTGCTAATTATACAAAAAATTCTGATCTATTCAACATATTCATACTGTAAAATGAACAGTTTTATTTGGTTAGGAGTTTTACAGTTTATCATTGTAAATTACACAATGCTTCATTGTTTTTGCATCTACAGTTTTTTTATGTCATGATTTTACAGGAATTTACTGTTAATTCTACGGATATTATTTACAGTGTAAATCAAAAGCTCATAAATGTAATTCCTCTTAATTACAAGTCAACTGGTGTTTCAAAGGCATTTATTGTCACCCTAAGCTTTGGAGGTAAATACAGTTGTTCAGGAAACAAGTGAAATCTTGAAATTCGGCAGCCTGTGCATACTGACCCAAAGGTCAGTTATAATATTTTTTTTTCTCAGCAGTTTGTTTTATATGAAAACTTGAGCTGTGTCGTGAGGAAAGGCTTGTGTGCACACTGATTCTATGAGATAGCTCCCCCTGAACTGTTTAGCTCAACATGAAGTCTCCTTGTATTAAGTGGCCTATAGTGGAGGTATCAGGAGACATTGCTAAGACTTTAATACCCCATAAGTGCTATGTGGTTTGCTCTGGCTTTGTTGGTGTGGATGAGGTTTTTAGAATGAGCCACTGAACATTTGTTAAGCCCATGCATTTAGGTTTGGCCCTAAAATATATTTGGAAAAGGGTAGCTTTGCTGATTAGTGGAGCAGGGACTCATTAGATTTAGGCCAAAGATCCAAGTACTGAGATGAAAAGAAATATCTAATAATGCATGCAAGTGGTATCTGTACTTTTTCAAGAGTTTTTGTCTCTTAAAGGCCTTGAAGCATTTTCCAAACTCACATAACAGAAGCCAAGATGTTTTCTGCCAGAAAACCAATATTTTTGCCAATATTATGCTTTGATTCAAAACAATGAAAGGGTGAGATTTTCCAATTTCTGATGAAAAAAAAACTGCTCCAACAAAAAGATGCATTTTAGGTTAGCTTGCCAATCTAAAGGTGTGTGTTGACCAAAGCGTGTGTCTCTTTAATCCCCTGAGATGGAGAGACCACCTATCTAGGATGTTTCATAAGTTTTTCCTACACAATAACGGAGACAAGTCATACATCAAGATCCAGCATGGCATATGCATTGAGTTTGCACTATCCCTAAACATCCAGGCTCTAAACTGTAATTATTTAAGTACTTCATTTAAATTGGGAAAAGCCTGCAACTTATACTAGGTTATAAGCATATTACACTTTATATATTTTTTTTAATGAATCAGACACCCAGCATTATAATATGGTGGATATATGTGATATGATGTCCTAACATATAAATACTTCCTACAAAGACAAACCTGACATGCATAGCTGTTATGGTTGTGCCCTATGTGGTCTTTTGTTTGAGTTTCTTTTTAAGTTTTCAGTTCCACTTTGATTTATTTTATTCTGTGTTTTCTTGTTCATTGGTTTCTTTTCAATTTTGTGTTGTATCTAATTAGTGTCTGCCTTCTGCCAGTCTCCTTTTCTTTAGCTCCTTCTAGTTACTTCTGTCTACACCTGCTCCCTATCAGATAATAATTGTTTCTGTCTCCCATATACACCTCCTGATCAGTTATTCTTTGCTGGTTTGTTGTTAATTGGCTCCTCATATGTGTTTTCCCTTGATGTCTTCTGGTTTTTGTTTTTTTGCATTTTGTTCCTGGATTTTGTTCCTCCTTGCCATTAAATCAACAAATACTCATCTCTGCATTTTGGGTCCTCAACCAACTACAACGATCAATTTCGGATATTAGCTAAATATTTGACCTTTTTAACCCTGTATTTCCAGGTATTATCTAGATTGTGGAAAATTATAGTAGTATTTAGCTGAACTTGTAGATTTTATTTCTGAAGAGCTGGCCTTGGATTTGGTTGGATGTTCTCCTTTCATGTAGTTGCCTATCTGTCTACATTATAGACAGCAAGTATAGAGAACAAGCATCTTCCATTATTATGAAATAGAATCCTTGACAGTTCCAGGTTTATATTTATATTTATATTCTAACAAATTTATCATACCCGCTTTGGAAGTTAGTAAAGATGTCTTACATTAAGACTTTGTAATGATGTCTGTACTAGGATATCTGTGACAAGAGCAGCATAACTAGAGAAATGCAGAAGAAACAAGTGGAATGACAAATAGTTATGTACCCACACATCTTTTCTAAGACTAGTTGAACAAATATGCATATTTTTTACTTGAAAAGAAGGCCAAAGTAGGAATGTGCAGGAAGAAATCACGAAGCACACAATAACCCTTGGTGAGGATTCATACCCAGGAACTTATTATTGCAGGGCAACAGTGCTAAAAGAAGCATTGCAGTTCCAAGATTTGTACATCAAAATTTATGTTCAGACTCTGTACAGTGAGTTTCAAAATGAAAAATAATAAAAAAAAATGTCTGGAAAGCAAAACATCAAAGATTATTTCTGGTTGTTCTAACTTCGTGTTTACCCACTATATTTGTACCATTAGTTTGAATAGACTTTATAGCTGTAAAATAACATTCTTAGATAAAACTAACTAGAGTGATTTATAGAGTTTTAATAGTGTTAAATTCTAGACTTGAATAAGGCCAATACAGTGGATTTATTGGGTAGACTAGTAAGACTTGTACAACCACCACACAGCTTGACAATTTAATGTTTTTTGGAGTACAGTAGTTTGGAATAATTGAGGTACTTATGGCTATAGGATTCAGAAAAAAAATAATAATAATAAGGGTTGGAGCTGAAAAGATATTGCAATGACTAACTTACTATTCTACTACAACTCTGCTGCATTGTCAACTGCTATGTTGTTCCATTTTGTATTTCATACTTTGAATATATTGCTTTCATTAACACCCTTAACCAAGTCTGCTTGCAACCCTGAACTAGAAGCATAAAAAGAGAGTGCATGTCTAGATAATATTACCTCGTATTAGCTGCTACTTCTCTGTCTAGAGTCTAGACCATGGTTTTAAGCCAAGACTGCTTGTGGAGAACATTTATTTTGAAATATACTCCCCTGACATGAGTAGTGTCCCTACATGCATCACCAGTCAGTGTGAGCTGCAGCTTCTCTGTGGGAGGCTGTAGTAATGCCTCATTTCAGGGAAACCCTTAAATCACTAAAGCAACACGTAGTTCCCCATAAAAAAAAAATAAAAATACTTGCATGCATACCAAAGCTATTATATGTAGATGATTTCACCTAAAGTTAAAAGCATGTACTGTATTCATATTAGTACATTGCTTCCTAAGATAACAACATATTTGGATCCTATTATGTCATCTAGGTACATGCTACTTTTATTCTTCAATAGTCGACTTTAGTTTTTTACATCCACAAAAGTGAAGTGTTTTAATTCCAGTCATATAGTATCCCAGGTTAAAATGTATATGGTTGTGAATGATTGGCTATGAAGATTGAAAGATACTGTAATTCATTCATTTCCAATGTTGCTTCAGGCACTATGCATGACTTCTATACAGCCACCTGTTGCTCACTTAACCAAGAACTTGAGAAAATCCCTGCTGTCAGTCATACTTCTAGATGCTCTCATAAAATGTCTGTGCAATAAAATACTTATTCTTGTCATGCTAAAGCCTTTAGTTAAGTGCTGGGCCTTACAATGTTCCTTTCCCATTTTTTAAAACAGCAGTTGCAGTTTGACAAGCAGAAGAATAGCCTCTTGGGTGGGTCTAAATGGGCTTTTGAGTTTGATAGAATTCATAAAAAGTTCCTGATCCACTGAGGGGTAGATCTAAACAATAAAATATAGTTGTTCTCATTTCACAAATCAATAACGACAGTTGGAAAATGGTCTTTAGTGTTTTGATAAATCCTCTTTTGTCATTGCTTATTTTCCACCAGGTGGTAGCGGGATGAAACAGACCCATTTTTTGTACACAAAATCTATTCTAGAGCCGATTTGATGGACAGCAATCATGGGTAAATTTTAGTTTTAAATATTAAAGGATATCTAAGAAACATACTGTTTTAAGTCTAACTGTCTGGATCCATGCAGGAAACCTATGACATACAGTATGATTTAAGTTTATACAATGTAGAATGTTGAGGGAATAGGTTATTATGTTATTTGATTATGATCAATAGTCTAGTTTAAAACAAAAAAGGTAGCTTACATAGCCTAATTAATATAGTCTATTAACCTAAAGCACTATTCATGATATGGTTGTTACATGTCAGGTACGCTGGTCATTGACCTTGACCAAGGCACCTTACAGTAGAATTGCAGTCAGTCCCTGGACTAGCATGGCTGTCTCTGCCCCAACATAGTTAGGGACATATTTTCCACTGGGATCAGCTTCATAGTCATGCTAGGCCACTTCT